GTTTAAGTGTATGGCCTATACATCCTTAATAAAACGGGAAAGAATGAGGAAATGTCAAACGGAATTATAAAATTGTGTTTTATTGACATTTATTTTTATGACAGAAAGTTACAAAACAATTTCCGTATACAAAAACAGTAAAAAATAGACATTCCTCGGTTTTTCCTTTTATTTTATACGACATAAAATTCGTATTTAGTATATATTAGTTAGAAGTGGGATCAAATATTTTAATAGCGTTGTAGTTTAATCATAAGTTTTCGGAGTAATTAGGTACTTAAACATATTTATTTTACAAAAGTAGATAGGATATTTAAATTGCACATCAATTGTAAAATATTGCTTAAAGTACTCCAGTCTTCTTTTTTAAATTTCGTGTAGACCTCGAATTTATAGTAAAAGTATCTGCTGTCAATTTTTAACTTATTTAATTTACCGACACGAGACGCAAACGGAGGAATGGTATAGATACACGTATACGAACATCTGTACAAGTGTCGAAAAATTTCACATGTATATTTTTTATATACAGTATATAATATATATAAGTCAACAATTGTGTATAATAAGTTTATCGGAAAACATTTTTATACAGAAATAGCTTATGAATTTATACATTGTGCTTCAGTTTACCAATCCTTAACCAGACTTATTTATTTTTTAACGTTCTAAAGTTCCAACTTAATTCCAATAGTTCGCAATTAAGGATTAACGAAATACTGATCTTGTGCTGCAATCACTCTCTTAGAAATCGATAACAGAAGTTAAAACATAAAATATATTAGAATGGTAAGAAATTTCTCACCAACTGAATGAATTAGTTAACAAAAGTATCTCTTATTTGAGATACTAATTTGCGCGTTCCAATAGTTTACGCTTTATAGAATGATTTCGTTTTTAAAGTTCCTTGTCAGCTCTTTGTGCGGTAAGACGATCGAGTTCAACACGATTTTCTCTGCTGCCAAACGTACGCTGGTGCCTGAAAATATAGATAAGAAAAATAAGGCTTAATTACAAAACCGGTTGAACATAGACTGATTACGTTCATACTCCACTCGCGTGTGACCACGTATTACATTAATTTATGTTCGCATAGGATATTACTGTATATATCTTTTATATGCACGCTCAAGGAAATACAAGAATTATTTAAATACTCACCCAGTATTGTTATGGAAGGATTTAATTTCCCGTTCGTGTTAAACAGAGGCAGATTTTCCATTTTCGCGAACGCTTTGTCGGGGTTCGGATCGCACGGCGTTCCTTCTATTCTCGCCCATTCGCCGACATAACTGCTTTTACCTACTATACTGTGTAAGACAATGGAATGCGCCTGAATGTGACCATTAGCTAATATAATTGACTCTCTTATCCTAACGCCCTGAGAGATCACAGCATTCGGGCCTATGCTCACGTTCGGTCCTAGCTGCGAATTAAATATTTTCTGTATCATTCAATTCGTTATAAAATTATATATATAT